AGGCCTGGCGCCGAATCGGGCAGCAGCAGGCAGCGGGGTGGCCCTGGTCTGCAGGGAGGGTTGTGCCCCACCACGCACTGCGTGGGGCAGGGGGGCGCCCAAAAGGAGGGCTCGTCCGGGATTTGAACCCGGGACCTCTCGCACCCAAAGCGAGAATCATACCCCTAGACCAACGAGCCTGTCTCTACACCCCTTTTCATCACTGCTCCTGTGTCCCATTAAGATTTGGACTGATTCCCTGTCCCATATTTTTGTTACTGGATCCTCTACCAGCTGCTGCCTTTTCTGTGCATTGTCATCCTCATTTATCCTGAAGGAAACATTGAAGATATCTATCTCCAGATTTCCTGTGGGCTCCAATGCTGGTAGGATCACCATCCAGTGTAAGCCTGGGCAGGAGCCACCAGCCCTGGGGGGATTTCTTCCTGCCAAACACTTTTTCTGCCGGAATGGCATAGTACCTTGTTTCATCCTGAGTATTTCAGCCTTCCTCCTGGATGCCCAGAGCAGTGCTTGGCTGCCTTTCTCTCATCTGACTTGAGATAAGTTTGGCAGGTGTGAACAATGCAGCACCTGCTTGCCAGCTGCTTTCCCCCTTGGCTGAGGCACAGCACACTGGGGTAGGGGTCTGGGGCTCAGGGTGCATAAGGACAGGGTGTCATGGGGCTGCCCTTGGGATGAGGGGACCAGCAACCATGGGCGGGTTGGAACCATGGTTCAGCTGATTGAAGAGCCTCTCTACTAAACAGCAGATCCTGGATTTGACCCCCAGTGGTGCCTGGCCTGTGGGCTGATTTTCTTCCTAGCCCCTGGATGGGGACTCTGCCTGAGGCTGGGATGCCCTATAGCCAGCAGCTGGGTGAGCACAGGACACTGGGGAGAGAATTTCTGAGGTCTGCCCTGCATATGGGAAGAAGGATGATTTCCTTCTGTTCCATACTACTGGGAAGCTTAAATTGAAGAGTTGGTACAAAAACTATCTCAGAATCCAGAATATTTGGGAAATTAAGAGGTACATTTTGCAGACCAGCTTTCTCCTGCCATCTTCCACTTTGATTTACAGGCATACATGGTACAGAATCACGCAGGAAAATCCATCTGGTTGTAGCCCGGGGTGGGAGAAGGGCAATAGGTTGTGGAAACCTACAACCATAAGAAAAAAAAACAACCAACCAACCAACCAACCAACAAAAAAAAAAAAAAAAAAAAAAAAAAAAAAAAAAAAACCAACACATCATAAAGCCTTATTTTTGGCAAAAATAAATGTAGCGGTTCTGCCCACTCTACCCTTTATCACTCTTTGAACTGGGACCGAGAGGAGAGGGACAGAAGAGCCACAAACCTCTTGCCGTGCTGTTGAAGGGCAGGAGCACAGCTCGGTCCCACAGCCCAGCTCTCCGGGAGGAGCTGAGGAACGAGTGCTGTGCTGGTAAAATGCTGTGCTGGTAGCTTTGCCAAAAACGAAAAAAATGCCCCAAACTGCACCAAGGCAGGGGACGAGGTGGCCGAGTGGTGAAGGTGATGGACTGCTAATCCATTGTGCTCTGCACGCGTGGGTTCGAATCCCACCCTCGTCGGGTTCCCTGGGTCCCATAAAGGTTCTTTGTGGGTCCTTCTGGGGCAGCCTGGACAAGAGCTAAGGCCATATTTTGGTAGCCCTCCGTGGGGCAACAGCAGGTGACTGTGCCATGCAGCCCCACTCCACCTGCACATCCTCGCCGCCTGTCCCTGGCAACCAGTGCATCAGTGCTTCACTGCAGCCAGGGAAGCACGTTGTGCCAGCTTTGGAGCTGCCTTTCCTACTCTGTGTGCCTCTTTCTGTTGATGAGAATGTGGCAAAGCCACGCTGTGACTGGGGGGGTGCCCACACTGCAGCCCCGCATCAGCTTTTGAGCGCTCCCTGGGGCTGCATTTCCTCTCTCAGCCTGGTGAGATGCCTTGGAGCCATCAGGGAGCAGCCTGCCCTAGGAACAGGCTTCCTCTGCCCTTGCATTCGGTGATGAGGCCTCCTGCAGAAACGTGCCGGCCACGGTGATGCCACAGAGCCCCGGTTCACCTGGGGACCCAGCGATTGCGGAGTCAGTGAAACTGGATCTCCTGCAGCCCCAAGGCTTTGGGCGGGCTGTGCTCCCAGGGCTCCCCTAAAGTCTTTGCACGTGTCCTTGTGCAGAGGCCTGTGTCCTCGCTGCTCCACAGGGCTCCCGTGGCAGCCTGCAGTGGGATGGCAGGGGCCGGCATTCCCTGGCCAAAGCCAAGCACAGGTCCCTATCCACCAGCTCTGTAGGGAACTTCTGTGAACTCCAGCAATTTCCATGGGAGGGTTTTTTTTTTGACGGGTGAATAAAACCATCCCCAGCATTTCAGGTTGGATATCAGTAAAAACTTCTCAGAAAGTGAGGTGATGCAGTGGCAGAGCTGCCCAGGGAAAGGTGGGATTGCTGTCCCTGGAGGTGTTTCAGAACCGTGGGCATGTGGCACTGAGGACATAGAGGGGGGGATCTTAGAGGTCCTTTCCAACCCGAATGAATCCACGATTCTATGATTTCCACCTGTTAGTTGAGATTGTCAAGGAGTTTGGGAACAAAGCTACACAGGACTGAAATGGGTGCACATCCCAGATCCATTGCAAAAGTTAAGAAAATGGGCTTGATGTGTTTGGTTGCACAATGTTTTATTGGTTTTGTGGTTTCTCCAGAGAAAGTCCTGTCTCTAGCTGAAAGAGCTCACTGCCTGAAAAGAACAGGGGTTAGAGAAACCAGTCCTGTTTTTCTTCTAGACACCCTCACCCCTAGGAAGAGCTCTTTTCCCTATGGATTTTCTTTTGTTTTAATCTCTCTCATTGCAAAAAAAAAAAAAAAACTGATTATTTTGACTTCCTGACCATTGTTTTGCCCTTTCCCTTCTCCAAGCAAAGGACTTTAGTCAGTGCAGAGATCTGTTCACACTCACAATCATGCCTTCTTTAAATACCCCTCTGCTAGAACTGCAAACATCCAGCGTGCCCCGATGTTGTGCTGGAACATGACGATGCAATGTGAGCAGCCTACTCAACTAAAGTGACTCTGAAAACCCCTACAAGGCACATCTGTAACAGCGATGCTGAAACCCCCCTGGCCCCACACATGCTTACGGCCCGATACTGCCATAATTTATTTTGGGGCAGAAGGTGTTTATGCCTCCACATGGGCTCTGCTGGAGTGAAATGAGAAGCCTTCTTCCAGCTTCCCCCGGAGCCTGATGGCTCATTCCCCTGCTTGGTACAACGTCAGCGATTCCTTATCCCCAGCATGTAGCTGATTCATGTTTAAATGCAGGTCGGGACTTCTGCGACTCCCTGTCTCTCTAGCAGGTTAGCAGGGTTCACCAGAGCAATCTGGAGTCACACCTATCATTAGAATGTCTTGGCAGTTTCTCTCCATCACAGGAAAGAATAGCCGTGAACTTCTGACTCAGTGCTCCTAGCGTGTCCCAAGAGCAGGTGGGAAAGTCTCTTGGCCTCTGCCATCAGCTCACTGAGCAAAGTTGGCCGCTTACGGTCAGTGTCACCTTCAGGGATGGACTCCAGAGTCTTTTTAACGCCCTTCTGTGTATTTGGTTCATTTGCTTTTAAAATCTGCTCAACTTTCCAAGCTGAATTCATGCCTCACACCTGAGGAATATCAAAATACGAAATAGTCCACGTGGATCCAAACACATAAACTGGATCCAAATGCATAAACACTTGGTCACGCCAGATCAGCTCTGCTATGTTGGGCTTGCACTGAGCCGTGTCTATGTCTGTGCCACCCAGATAGCTGGGGAAGGATGAGGGCTGCAGAACTGCAGCACCACGCGTTGGATCATCTCCCTCACCACCCCTCACCTCTGCAGCATCCCCCATCTTCCAGTCAGGATCCCATGACGCTGAGGCAGTGCAGGCGCCTAGCTGTTTGTACTGAACTTGTGCACAGATGTATTTCTCTTAACTGGGGCTTAAGGCCCCAAATTTATGAGCTTACCTCAGGTGAACTTGGGAGCTGAATTCCCCACTGATTTACGGTTGTGCTCAGAAGAAGGTGGGGAGGGAGGGGAGGTGTGCTGGGGATGCACCTGCCCTAAATTCAGCTGAAGTACTCTCCTGTCTCATAGCATCCAACCTAAAATGTACTTTGGCCCTGGGAGGTAAGATAATTACTGCCTGTAGCTGGAATCATTTCAATCTTACTCAGTACTAAATGGAAGCAAAACATGACAGATGAAAGATGAGACTTTTTAATCAGCTGGGGGAGCTTTCCAGGAGAAAACTGCTGGTTACTGGGAAGTTTCATGTGGAAGGAATGCGCCAGCTCCCCTGGGGGTCGGGGCACCCTATATAACACCAGGTGCTGCTGGGCCCTGCCACCTGCTTCCCAGCTGCTGCATCCTCTGCTGCCCAGGTAAGTTGAGATGCTCCGTTCCTTCCTCTGACCGAGCTGCTGTCGGCACTGATGTGTGCTGCCTGGTCCTCAGAGAGGGGTTGAGGTTTGTTGTCTGCCTCCCACCTGCGGAGGCCTCGGGGGAGGGATTCTTCTTGCCATCACATGAGGGTGCAAGGGGATGAGGAATGCAAGGTGAACTGGGTATGTGCCACAGGGATCTGTAGCTACCTAGCCAGGCACGTCCGGCATGGATTTTTTTGCTAAAAAAGAATATAAAGAGTAAAAAGAATAGCACATTCCCTAGTTACAGAGCTCAGTGCTCCCCTGTTGAAGGGAGGGCAGCAGAGATGCCTTTAATTTTAGCCTGTGCTAAATCCAGCTCACTCGTGTTGCGTTAAGTGTTTTTTACAGCAACAGGAAGCATTCCAGTGAGCACTCTGCTTGCTGAAGGAGCGCTGTCACCTCTCCAGCTCTGCCTCCCAGGGCAGGTCATTCAAATGAAATCAAATTATCCCTACCTCTGGCTGCCAGAGCCACCAAGTTAGAGCTCAGCAGGGAAAGGACAGCATCTGCCCTGCGCTTACGCCCTCCTCTGCCTTCCAGGTGCCTGTTCTTGCCGCGCGATGTCCTGCTACGACCTGTGCCTGCCCGCCTCCTGCAGCCCCAGGCCACTGGCCACCAGCTGCAATGAGCCCTGCTACCGGCGCTGCTGGGACTCCACCGCCGTCATCCAGCCCCCCACCGTGGTGGTGACCTTGCCTGGGCCCATCCTCAGCTCCTACCCGCAGAGCACCACGGTGGGGTCCACAGCGTCGGCAGCAGTTGGGAGCTACCTCCGGTGCTGTGGGGTGCCAGTGGCCTCCGGTGGCACACGGGGGTTGGGGAAAGGGGCCTTGCTGTGCCTCAGGGGTGGGCTGTAGGGTGTCCCCGTCGGCCAACTCGTCCCACTGAGGCCAGGAAGGAAGGAAAAACGAAGCACGGGAACAAGACTGGGGAAGAGGACTAAGGAAGTTCCCGCGTGTTTCCAAGCCATTGGGGGCACCTGCAACTCTCCCAGCAGGAAGGGATCCTCGGGTACTTTTCGTTCGAGATCGCGCCTCTGTAGACCTTTCTCTAGCTATGCCTTACTGTATGCTTCCATGTAAGTGTGACACCCTGTGGTGTTACTCAGCATTTACTATTAGCTTATAGCTGGCTGCAGACAGAAGATGGTGCCAAGAGCTGCAGAGGCAGCAGGGGCAGAGGAACACCTCGTAGGGGTCGTTTTGTCCTTAAATAGTGTTTGTCCATTACTATACTGAGCATTAGAAATGCACTTCTCATACTCTCAACTGGTTTATTCTATTTCTCATTAAAGACATGCTACATCATAGCCTGAGTCTTCGTGTTCTTTTTGCCTCTGGTCTGAAGTGGTGACGTGCTCTGGTCGCAACTTATTGCTGTGTGGGTGTTGTTTTTTTGGTCTGAAATGGGAATTTCTGGTGCTAGTGCCACACTGTGCTGATGTGAGCACGTGGCTTGCTGTGTCCAGCCCAAAGGAAAACTTTTGCAGACCTTTATTTCTGCCCTACAGCAAATACCAGCTTAGGGACACATGCAACAGCCTCACTGCCTTTTCCCACAAGACTGTGGCAACATCAAGGTTTGCTGCTTCAAAATGGTATTTTGCCTGTTTTTGCAGTGAGTTTTTGGTTTGATGGAGGGTAAAGAGAGATAAGTTGCCTTCTTGGGAGGCGCTTCTCCGAATGGTCACCCTTTGTCCAATTTTGCCCTGAGAGCTGGGATCACCGTCTCTGGAGATGTTCCACAGCTGCAGAGATGTGGCACCAAGGGACGTGGTCAGCAGGCATGATGGGGTGGGCTGATGGTTGGACTTGGTGATCTCAGAGGTCTTTCCCAGCCTTAATGACCCCACAAGTCTATGACTAAAGCTACCTGGGGCAGCTGCAGTATAATCAGGGAATGGAGAGATCAGCACATGCCAGACCACTCCTCTTGGATCCTCGCTTTCTGTTGCTGAACAGAGTAATGTAAAACCACATACAACATTAGAGAAAGGCCCTAATGCTATCGTACTGGCTGCTGATACACTTGGAGCTGGATAACAGCTGTGATTTCTGTGCAACAAGAACATTTCTGTCATTTCCAGTCTTCCTTTCTGCTTTCGATGATGGCAGAGGTGGGAAGCATCTGTATCTCCGTGAAAAAATCACGTAAAACAACCTGTTTTATTAAAAATATATTCAAAATGAATACAAAATCTCTCTTTCCATATGTTTCAGGGGACTTCCTCAGATCTAATGAGGATATCTGTATTTCTGGCCATAGCTACAGCACAAGCTCCTCCCTGAGCTATTCCCAAAAATAAGGGCCTGCAGATTTAGACTGAAGTCATTAGATGAAGAAGAATAACTATTTTACAGGGAGAGGAGGTAGGCACTGAGTAAGCCTCTTTGTAAGATGCTACAGAACATCAAGCAGAACATTTTCAGCTAATGAAATGAGGAATAAGAGTGCAACTAAGTCCTCCATAGACTTTGTATAAATCTTTCAGTCTTTATACATTTTGGTGGTGTGAAAATCTACACAGAGCTTATGAGTGTTTAGAATGAGGTATTATGCTGGGCTTGGAAGCAAGTTGGTCTTACCAAGCTCAACTGGTTCTACTGCTCAGATCTTCATAGAAGTGCTCCTAATTTGGAAATACCCTGCATGGCACTTGCTAGGCAATTAGAGCTCTGGGAACAAAGAGGTGTGGGTTCCCATCCATGTTCCAAGGACTACTGAGGTATTTTTAGACCAACTGCAGACATTGTTCCATAGAGAGGGAATGCGAAATTGTCTCTAGTGCCGCAAAGAGGAAAAGCAGTGAATTAGTAGCAAGAGCATCATTAGAAAGTTATAGGCATCTGAGGCTGGTACATCTGCTTTCCAACAGCCTGCTGCATAGGACAGTGCAGGATGGAGCAGGGGAAAAGCGTAACGACATTTTGATATAGCATTTCACAATGACTCCATGGGTGAGATGGTACAGACTTTTTTTTTCTGAAGAGCCAGTGTCTCAAAGGAGACTGAAATCCACACAAGTCCTTAATTTGACTTGAAATTTGTGACGTCTCAATGCAGACAGAACTGGGGAAAGGAGAATCTGGGGCCCTGCAGTGATCCCCAGCACAAGGCACCTGGCACCTGTCTCCAGGGCTGCTGTGACTCATGGCTGGGAGCCTGGCCATCTTGGTTGCCAGCTCAAGAACTGTCCTGAATTCACTCCACTTTGTTATCCCCCCAGACAGTACTTGCCCCAAGCAGAACCACACAGACTTGCTAATTAGGCCCTAAAATACAGGTTCCTGTAAAGACATTGCAGCCACAGGCCCAGTGAGAAACTGGAAACTACATATGAAGACTGAGATGAAAAATAGAGCTCAGTGGGTGGAAAGAGGCACATAGAAGGAAATAGGTGGGTGCTGGGGTTTGGTCACAGCATTACTTTCTCACGGCTTCCAGCAGCAACGACAGCAGCACTGCTCAGAAAAGACTGGAGCGTAATCTAAATGACTCTTGGGCCATACCTGGATCTATAGAGTTTCGTGACTTTTGTTGTCCTCTCATCTTTCTGACCTGTTCATGTCCTTGGAAGAAACCTCTTCCCCACCAAAACGCAGGATCCTCCTCCTTCAGCAATCTGTGCTTCCTGGAGGCTCCTACTTCCCTTCATTTTCATTCATCTATCCTTTGCTTTTGTGGACCCAATTGCACTAGCAAAAATTACAGTGGTGGAGTACTCCAGCTCAAATCATGATGTTCTGGAACTGGGATGGTGGCAACTCCCTTTTAGGAGATCATGTCCACCGGGGTGTTGATCTCCTTTTTAGGTTGTTTATTACCACAAGCTCATCCCAGCTTACACCACCACCCTTGGTGAATGGACTCACTTGGTTTGTTCTGCATTTCTGTGCTTGGGGAAGCCAGCAGTAGCAGAGAGCAAGTATCTCCCTTATGCAGTATAAGGAAAGCCCACAGCTCTTTCCAAGTGCAGTGATGGGTGCCTGGCTCCTCTGGGGATGGAGAAAGGGGAGAGGAAGGATGAAGTCATGGCTTGGGCTGCAACAAATGGAGACACACAAAGAATTGTCATGGAAAAGAGACGACTGCTACAAATGGTGAGTCAGTGAGACTGTCTGGAGTGGAAGCCCCAGGCAAACTGGGTTTGGTGATAAAAATGAACAGATTGGTAGTGACTAGGTGGTTACTGAGACAGCAGGATTCCAGTACTTCTGAGTTGTGTGACAGGGATAAGAGGGAGGAGAGACTGCTGCTCAGGTGGGCAAACTGCCCCAGACACCAACGGCTGCACCCACAGACCAGCCATGGGGCAGAGGCCTGCAAAAGCCTGGGGACCCAGACAGGCAGTGATTCCAGCCTTGGGGAACTCCATAGTGAGGGCTGTGGTTCTTCCTCAGGGCTGGAAATCTTACGAAGCAAAGTAATCACAGGTCACCCACACACCTGAGTCACAAAGGAAAAGGCACAGAAATCAAAAGGCACTAGTATCCTGGTCTGGTCCTTCTGGTGCCACTCATGGGAGCAGGGACCCGTGGCTCACATCCTGATGAGCTGGAAGCTCTGTTTGTTTTGTCAGCACTGTGCTGCACCCTGAGCCTAAACCAGCACCATAGACTGTACTCAGCTACCCACAACCTCTGAGTTGCTCCCCTTGGGGATGGGGTGACAGGGGTGCCAGCACAGCCCAGGTCCAGAATGTTTACAGCATCCTGGACTGAAACAGCCAGGGATGCAAGTTTGAAACTCAATAATTATTAAGTTAAATATTCCAAGGCTATAATTTGTGTTTGTTGAGATGTGTCTGCACCGTTCTGAGGGAAGATGAGGGTGATCTGCTTACGGCTGTGTAAAGGTGGTTCTTGCTTGCATTCCTTGAGTGGTGGTGGTGGAGCTGGGCAAAGCTGCTCACTGGGCCATGGTGCTTTGCTCTTCCGTCTCCATCTTCAGCATGAGGAGTGGCCCAGGCCTGGTCCTGCTTGTGCTGTGTGGTGTTAGTGTGTGTTAGATAAGTGACATCCATGCACACAGGGTCTGTTCTCAGCTGTGAGCATTGGGGCCACTCAGGGCAGAGGTGTGGAAAAGAGTTGGGCTCACACCTCTGACACCCAAAGCAAGAATCATACACAGACCAATGAGCCAGGGCACGCGGGCTCCCCCAGCAGCACGCTGTGCCAGCAGCTCTTGTCCTGGGCACCGCACTGCACAGAGGCTTGCAAACACCAGGCACAGGCACTGCGCAGTGCAGAGCAGTCCCAAGCATAACGAAACTTGGCCTCCCACTTCCCCATCTCTTGCAGGGCTGCAAAACTGGGCAGCCGGTTGGGCCTCTGTCCCTCCTGCACTGGGCTGCCCATACACACACCCCTGCCAGGGGCTTTGATGTGGATTCAAACACAGAGCTGCCGATCACAGCTGGAGGAGACACATGCAGCCTGTCCTTGGCAGGGTCACAGAATGGCACTCCCATCTCCAGGCAGGGGGTAAAATCCTTCGCTGTGAGCAGGATTCGAACCTGCGCAGGGAAACCCTATTGGATTTCAAGTCCAACGCCTTCACCCCTCGGCCATCACAGCCTCAGCCTGGTGCCCCTGGGGGCTATCCTGTCCACAGCCCTGGGCACACCTTGTCCCATGGCATTACCCAGGCACTCGTAAGTACACCCATGGCCCCCATCCTGCAGTTCAGGAAGTCCTGCTGGGAGGCTAGGAGACCCCCACAGTGTGCCTGGAGCCTGGTAGCAGGAACTGAGCCCAGCAGTGCCAGAGGCTGCGCTGCCCGCAACACCCCAATGCATGGCACTTCTGAGTGGGACCCCAACAGCTGTACATCTTGGCTTTTTTTTGGTCTAGGGATATGATTCTCACTTAGAGTGCAAGAGATCCCGGCTTCAGCTCCTGGATGAGCCCTCCCCTTTTGGACACCATTGCCCTTCAGGCTGTGAGGACAGGGCACTGATCAGACCCAAAGCCCTGCAGCACCCTGACATCTTGGGCACAACTCCCCTGCTTACTTTGCTTCCCACCACGGCCAGCAGCCATGTACTGACTTGTTGGTTGGCAAAATTCCGAGCAAAGTCATGGCCAGGTCAAAGTCCCTCCTAGTTAGGAACATCAGAATTGACTGAGTTAGAAAGAATGTTTAAAATTCAACTAGTTCAATTTCCTTGCAGTGAACAGGGACATCTACAGCTACATCAGGTTGCTCAGAGCCCCATCCAGCCAGACCTTGAATGTCTCCAGGGATTGGGCATGCACCACCTCTCCGGGCAAACTATGCCAGCCAGTGCTTCACAACCCTCATCATATA